ATCCATTTGTAATTGTCTGCAGAAAAGAGTGAATACGGTGGTGGTCGCCAATCTGTTTTCATAAGCAACGGTTATCAGAACTTTCGTCATTGTTGGCGCCCGCCTTTGGACCTTAATTAAGAGGGAACAGTCTTTGAACGTCCGTGGGTGTGTAGCATATCCTAGATGCGGCTGCACGCGGGATACAAATATTTTGGAGAAGCAGTCTTTGTCCACTGGCGTCAATGGTGTACTGTTTAAAAAGTAAACGTTTAGTGTATGGATTCTGCGGTAGAAAATTTAAAATGGGGTAAATTTTAGAAGCATGGGTTCGAACAATTGTCCCATTTTCATTTGCTTGCCGCATTTAATGTTTATTTTATTAATTTATTGATTGCCACTTTACAGGAAAGGTCAAAATATACACAGTAGAGAGTCGAGCTGACAGTGAGATAAATCTTGCTCATTCCCTCTAGTGTTTTTAGGAGCATTCACGTCTTATTCAGCAGGTTTATTCTCTGGCCTTCAATTATCTCATATCCACTGACCAATGTGTAAGGTATCTAAACTTTATAAGGGTGAAAATGTCGTCTCAATGCCTTTCAAAGTCGCTTCTGTGGGGTATTTATGCAAGTGTACTTACTCGTCTAGGGAACTCTGTCTACGTTTTTGGGTTCAAAAATACAGTTTCCTAGATAGTTAAATGCCCCAAACACTACTTATTAAATGTTTGTTGAATCACACTGACAATTGTTTTACTTTCTTGACAAATATACTTAAGGTCATCAGCCTGGAATATAACTGGATCTTTGCGTGATTATTTACGATAACAACAAGAAACGAATCTGTTTTCGAGATGGAGTGTCTAACCAAATGGACACTGAAAGCTAAGGGGAAGGATGGAAACCCTGTGTGGTAAATTTGATCAGCTTTACGATTTGGGAATTTAGTGTATGGGATTTATGCTACAGTCCAAATGGACACCACTTAGTGGTCGCTGGCGGAAATTCAGTTCATGTCCACCGGGCCGAGTGTGGCACATTAATAAAAGCTCTTAAAGGCCATAAAGATGTCGTTGTCTGTGTTGACTATAGTTTTGATGGCTCTTTTTTTGCCAGCGGTTCATTAGATAGATGTGTAATAGTGTGGAAAGCAGCGACATTTGAAGGATTCTTGAAATACACGTAATCACATTCCGTTACTAATGCGCTTTGTTAAGTCATAACGAGAGCATTCAGGCTCTGAGTTTCAACCCGAAGGTTTCCCTACTTGCTAGCAGCGCTGTTGGGGATATTGGTATTGCTCTATAATTTTGTCTACTGCTCCTTCTAAGGATTTTGGGCACCAGATCAGAAATCTGTTACCAAAACAAAAGTACCATATAGAGCATTAACATTATCTTGGACATCAGATGGAAATCTATTGGCCGTTGGATTGCAGAACGGGTCAATCTCGGTCCGTAAACAGGTAGACCCATATATTTCTTTTCCATTTTATTAATTTTAAGGATGGAACGGAAGTCACCACTATCAATCGGAATACAAGTCAAATGATATGGGATCTGAAGTGGAACTTTCTTCGGTTCGTATACACTCAACTTTATAATTATAACATGAAATTTTAGGTCATGCAAAATTGAAATGTTAGCTGTGGCCGACTTTGGCGAAAGACTATCATTTTATCAACTTGCAGGCAAACAAGTAAGATAACCGGCTTCGGCCGTGTCCTTCGGAAAAATAGCATTTCAAAAAGTGAAAGTAAAATATCGAGGACAGTTGCGTAGCTTTCTAATTTTATTTCCATTTTATTCAACAGTTTTGCATTTCACTTAACGCACCTACTTAATCGCAAGTTAAACATGACTCAAAGGTAACGGATACGAAGTTTTGGTTCGTACAGATAAAAGTTGCGAATATTAGCGCGTTTTACTTCTTCTAACTAGGCAAAAATTAATGTTGTACAGTAGT